AAATTGTTTGTTTATTGATTTTTAAGTACAAGTTTCTGTGAATTCAAAACTTTACACCTTTATGTGAATTGTAATTCACAGTGTAATGTGTAAGAAAAAGATTTCTTTACTTTTGAACAGAAAGTTCTAAAATTTTTATACAGTAGTAACTTTATTTTGCTTTTTAGAGAATTTTTACTCTAATTTTATAAGTTTTGATATTCTCTTATGTTTTCAATTACTGTATTTATGATTTTTATTGAAAAATATAAATTATTATAAGTTTTGATATTCTATTATATTTTCAATTACTGTATTTATGATTTTTATTGAAAAATATAAATTACACACATTTTTAATAAACAATTTTTTTAATGAAATATAGTACTGTATAATAAAATTGCAACTGATATTTTGTTTTTATATCCACTTTATTTGTCTTTAAATGTCATTGTTAAAAAAACAATAATGCTAAATGGGTATTTGTGGTATTGATGTCTATGTAAACATAATTTACTATGATATAACCACAAATAAAATTAAGTATTGCAAAACTATGCTTATTTTATATCAAACACTTGCTGATGAAAGAACAGAGGATAGAGATTCCATAGAGTGTATAGTCTGTTTAGTGTAAGCCCAGAATTTTTAGTACTCCATTATATCATGCTTTTTCTTTGTCTCCTGACAAGCACAATATAATGAGGGACTACTATATTTGGTGATCTTTTGAAAATTATTTTAGAGCCTTTATATAGGTCATTTCTTTCATGATATTCTTCATTTTCTTATTAAAAATAAACTTTGTGATTATATCGAGTCTGCTGTTTTGAGTCTTTGGTCTGCTTCAAAATTCAGTACAATTACAAAGTTTAATTTTAACAAGAACAATGTAAACTCTCTCTCTCTAGATAGATAGCATTACATAGTAGATAGATGATAGACTTGTGTCAAGCATTTTTCTGATAAATATGTTAGATAATATATTATTTGATGTTAGTTACGTAAGGTTAAATAAATCTTTGTTCATAATTCAATGTTGACTCAGGACATTCTTCAATATTTTAATTCTTGAAGTTAGACTATTTACAAAAGTATAACATTTTCGAGTCTATCATTAAATCCTTTTACACAAACCACAGAAGACACAGTTTCATTGGTTAGAAGATAAAACTTCTTTAAAAGACAAATAATAAAAGGTAAAAATTCACAATTAAAAATGATTAAACGCCAGCCTTTTATTGTAGGAGTTGACGTTTTTAACATTAAAAACATCCTTAAAACATTAACATTAAAAATCCTACAATAAAAGGCTGGCGTTTGATCATTTTTAATTGTGAATTTTTACCTTTTATTATTTGTCTTTTAAAGAAGTTTTATCTTCTAACCAATGAAACTGTGTCTTCTGTGGTTTGTGTAAAAGGATTTAATGATAGACTCGAAAATGTTATATTTTTGTAAATAGTCTAACTTCAAGAATTAAATCTTTGTTGTTTTAATGTTAAACTAGTAGCAGAGTGAATTACTTCTGGGCTTTTGTCTCTCAACTTCCTCCCCTGTTTGCTTACTCTGAGTCCCCATACATAACCACTCACATACATTTCAGTGTCAATTTTGATTTGCCAGTGTAACCAGTGTGGTGTCAGAGTATCCTGATCTGGGCATTGTTGACACTGTTCATACAAGGATGTATGGTTTATTTATTCCAATTTTTCTTACTGGTAACTGATATTTCATCTGTCTTAGTTGATAACTAATTTAGTTATTTTAATTTATTGCAACAGATTTCTGTTTTCGAACTAAATAGTAAATATGCAAATAAATACTGCAAACTCTTGTAACATGTGACATTGTACTAATCCAACAGGAAGGGTTAAATTCCTTGAATATTATGGGAGAGCATACAATATTTTTTAATTACAGTAGAACCTCGATTATCCGGACTAATTGGGGATGAAGGTAGTCCGGATAAGGAAAAATCCGGATAATCGAAACAAACACTTTAATTTGTCTTTTAAAGATAATACAACACGTTTTCTTTTCGATGACATATCGGTAATATTAAAAGTAAATACTGTATTTAAANGACGTTTTTAACATTAAAAACATCCTTAAAACATTAACATTAAAAATCCTACAATAAAAGGCTGGCGTTTGATCATTTTTAATTGTGAATTTTTACCTTTTATTATTTGTCTTTTAAAGAAGTTTTATCTTCTAACCAATGAAACTGTGTCTTCTGTGGTTTGTGTAAAAGGATTTAATGATAGACTCGAAAATGTTATATTTTTGTAAATAGTCTAACTTCAAGAATTAAATCTTTGTTGTTTTAATGTTAAACTAGTAGCAGAGTGAATTACTTCTGGGCTTTTGTCTCTCAACTTCCTCCCCTGTTTGCTTACTCTGAGTCCCCATACATAACCACTCACATACATTTCAGTGTCAATTTTGATTTGCCAGTGTAACCAGTGTGGTGTCAGAGTATCCTGATCTGGGCATTGTTGACACTGTTCATACAAGGATGTATGGTTTATTTATTCCAATTTTTCTTACTGGTAACTGATATTTCATCTGTCTTAGTTGATAACTAATTTAGTTATTTTAATTTATTGCAACAGATTTCTGTTTTCGAACTAAATAGTAAATATGCAAATAAATACTGCAAACTCTTGTAACATGTGACATTGTACTAATCCAACAGGAAGGGTTAAATTCCTTGAATATTATGGGAGAGCATACAATATTTTTTAATTAATTACAATATTAATAAAATACTTAGCTTACATTTAATGAAAATTTAAGAATAAAATATTAGATTGTGTATTTTATGACTAATAATTTAACAAACAACAGTAAAATATGTTACTTTCTCTTACACACAATGAAGTGATATAATAAGGCAATAGACTATCAATACATCCACTTTATTAAATATTATATTTATTGCTACGATGCATTTTGTGTATAAACCCCTCTTCCATTGGCTAAAAATATAAACAATTGCAAATATTACAATACTGTATTATTAAAATGCTCTTAAAACTTTATGACATACCTTGATGTTCTTTCCTCCTTTTTAAAATCACATTAATTTTAATCTGTACAATTTCCTATAAATTAGTTAACTATTTTTACAATAGTTTTTACATTTAACATTAGAATTTTGTTTTACATCTGTATAAGCAGTTTAGTAAATTTTAACAAACACAATTACATTACATTGAATCAACACTTTTACACTGAAAATTCCCATCATTCATTTTTAACATTTATGTATTAGCTTTTACATTAGCTCTGTACTTTTTCATATAATTTACATAATAATTCTTTTATTATTTTACAAATTTAAATATGAGTTGTTATATACATTTTTTATAACTATACAGGTATACCTCGGCTTACGTCGTTTTTCGACTTACATCGCCTCTCCTGGAACCAATTACTGACGTAAGGCGAGGTATACCTGTATTTTAAATTGCATACTATTTTTACATATATTATACATTATTTCTTTTTCTTAATTTATAATAATTTAATTCAGTTATCATTTATTTTAACACTTAAATTTTTGTTAATTTTATTTTTAGCTTTTAACATTTCTATACTTTCTTTAAATTTCCTATTATACGTATTTACTTCTTTATGTAAAACTGTAGTGTTTTTATCTATATTACATTTGTAAACAATGTTCATAAAAAATGAAATTTTGCTTTTTACATTTTAAATCTGATATGTGCTCTTTTAATTGTATTTTTAATTTCCTTTTAGTTTCTCCTGTATAGTAATGTGTATTTTCACAAATGCAAGGAATAAAATAAACTATTTATATATATTTTAACTTTTTACTTTGCTTTTGTTCACTTTTATTTTGTATTAATTCTTTCTCCCATTTTCTATAAGGTTTCTTGGGTAATTATTTAACAAGAATAGTAAAATATGTTGTTGAACTCACCTATCAACACTGATAATTACCACAAGCTGTCAAATTTGCAATAAACCAACACTGTGCACTGTAGCTACTGACTGATATATTTCAGGAAAAGTACAACACACTAAAGTACTGCACAATCTGTAGCACCATGCAACAATCAACATGTTTTATGATCTATAATACAATGAATCAAGGATAATATTTTTATAATGTATAAATACAAATAATAAATATCATAATGTAACATATTACACAGTCTATATTTCAATATTCAATCTAACTTAGATGTCTGCTTCAATTTTCCCATGTTTTTCACATTTTCATACCTGCTAAGAGTACTGTAATTTGAATTCTACAACTTCCATTAATAAATATTGCTTTTTTAATTAATATATAAAACTAAATCTTTGAACATAATTAATTTTAAAAAACTTCAAATAATGAATACTCATTTTGATGTTTGATATACACTATACCCTTGATGTTTGTGGATGCCAGTGTTTGGAAAATTTGATTATTAGTGATCAAAAATTTATGCACCAAAATTTCAACTTTTATGAATGGGAGATTACCTACTACTGTAAACTGGAGTTGGTGCTTATGTGAACTGGATTTTCAAGCTGGCACAAAGCTAAAAGATCACTGCACTCACTCATTTGTATGGTGTCTGTTGTAGGTTAGATTACTATTTCGTTTATTTATTTATTTATTTTTTTTGGCTTGAATAAAATGTCTTTTGCAGCATTATAAACCATTGCACAATATATTTATTTAATAAAACTATTTATTTTTCTAAAAAATTTTTAAAACAGCAGTAATATATAAAGTTTTGGAATGAATTACAAATTTAACATTGAAGATTGAATTAAGTTTGAAAATTCAATGTTCATGAAGGATTACTCAATTCCATTTATTCATAAACATAAGGGAAACAGTGTACTTGTTACTTCATTACTAAAATGCCTAAAGTTTTCTTAATTTTAAAATTTGGTTTGAAAGTTTGAAAATATTAAAAACAAACAAAATGCACTCTCAACAATTTATTCATTTACAATTTTATCAATATTTTGGGATAAAAAAATCTACTTACCTGTTTGAATACATGGATGATCATTTGCTTCTTTTTTGGTTTTAAAAACACCACCACATCGCAAACATCTGTGACCTTTTTGACGAAGATGTGTTTTCAAATGCCTTCTAAAATCATAGGTACGATTAGTTCCGTACGGACACATGTGGCATCTGTTTAACATTCTGTCACCCTCCACTCTATGAACTTGACAATGTTTGGCCAAATCTTCAACACTTACAAATTGCATTTTACATTTATAGCACATACATTTAACTTGTTCTATAAATAAATAAATTGTTATTTTGAAACATATTTAAAAAAAATTCAATATAAATTTTATAACATCTACTTACGAACAGTCTTTGTAATTGTTGGTAAAGCTTTTGCTTGATTATTTTCCATTGGATTAATATAGCCATATAAAGAAGCCAACTGATTTTTAAAAAATAATGCATATTCTTCTCTAGATACGGTTTTCCTTAAGTCAAGACCTACGGTAGGAAAAGAAGATCCAACAAATAAACTCCCCTCAGAAGTTTTTAGCATTTTACTTGATGTTGGTCTTTCATTTTTTGGAACTTCTTCAGATAAAACACAAGCTTCTGGCATAACTTCAACCACCATGTGTTCTTCTTTATCATTATTATTTTCTATTTTTACTGGATTTGATTTTTTCTCTTTAGCATCATTGTCTGTGTTGGGTGAAATTTCTTTGCTTTCTGTTTTTTCTTTTTCATTTTCTACTACTTTGGATGAATTTTGTGAATTTTCAGATACTGCAGATGAATTCTGTGAAGTACTAGCACTATTAAAATCAAACTTATTATCTTTTTTGTTACCATTCATAGAAGCTTTGATTGCTTCACATTTTTTGAAATAATTAATAGACTGTTGCAAAAGATATTTGTATTCTTCAGCACTCATAGGAAAAGCAGAAGTCATCTGAAAATAAAAATGAAAATCTTAAATTATCCAATAGATAAAACTTTTTTCTTCTGTACATATTTTTTTGGCTGCTATTAGCATATTTTTAAAGCAACTTCTAGATTATATTTACAAGGTTCCTTACTACGCACATACACTACTGTTTCTCCAACTTTTTAACTGGTTATTTTTTATAATTAAGAGTTATATTTTTTTATAATTGATGAATTAGTAAAATTAATTCTGTGTGTAGCGTCTTTGTAATCCAAACGTTAATTTTGGTAGACGATCAAACAATAATTAGTTAGGAAAATGTTACGGTTTATTTAAAAGAACACTTTTTTAAAAAATTCAGATGCATTTCAGGTTGGCTTGTATTCCCAACCCCTCTTCAGTGCTGTTAAAAATTACAAAAACAAGGTGAGTTTCACAACATTGGTAAGTGGGATTTAACATAAATGCAGGTTGACAATAACATAAAAACCTTACATGTTATATAATGGTACAGTATAGACATGTGTGACAATATTTTTATTACATAGTTGTATGACTATTTCCTATAATATGAAAAAAGTAAAGGGTGTGGTTAACACATCATTTATGTGAAGAATATATATAACATGGATTATTAATTTTAAAAATATCTATAAACACTTATATTTTTAGTTAAAATGTATTATTCTTGATAAGAAATGGAACAGAGTACAAATTGACAACGGGCATTATCCGGTGTTCACCGAGTAACAGTATACTGGCAAGTGATGTTACTTAAACCATTCCTAACATTCCGTACAAGAGGGTGTGCTTTAAATATTTAACGCGTGGAGGTGCTCTCTAATAGTTTATATACCATTGGGGGTCTATTGACATGCCTTCAGAAATATTAATTAAGTTATGTTTAGGGTGTTTTTTGAGTTCTATGTGTTCTTTAAATTTCTTTTTATATGGGTCTTTTTCTAAATGTAACACTTTTATATTGTTTTTATTAATTTGGCAATTATTGTCACTAGTGTGGTAGTACAAGGGGGAATTAGGCAAGTACCAGGTTTAAGGTGGATGGCAGCTTCATGTTCTTTAATTCTGGTTTCAATTAACTGGCCTGTTTCACCGATGTAAGTTTTCGTATTTTGACAGTTGCATTCAAGTTTGTAAACAGTTCCTACAGATTTTAGAATGTTAGGTTTGTTGTTATGTTGTTTATTAATGTCATAATGGATACTATGAGATATTTTGTTGGTTAAAGATGGTGCCGAACTGATATTGTCTTTTTTTAGGATCTTATTACAGCCCTCGAAAATGTTTTTGATATATGGGAAGGTTTTGTATTTTTTGAATTTATATTTCATATTAAACCTGTTTTTCCAGTATTTTTTTGCCATGTGTTTAATTTCGATTTGGGGTAATCTTTAAGTAAAAATTTAGCTTCTAGCTCCTTCATTTTAATTTTTTGCCATTTTTTATCTGATATTCTTGTATATAAGTTTTTTAACTCCATGATATAAATATTCTTTTTTATATATTCTGGGACATATGAATAGTAGTTAATAGTTTTATTAACATTACATGTTTTTCGTATGTTACAAAAGAAAAATTACTAAGTGTATTTATGATTGTTATATCAAGATAATTTATTTTATTATTGCTTTCTTTTTCAATATTGAATTGAATATTTTCGTTAAATTTGTTAGCAGGGTTCAGAATATTATCATCGTTTGTTATTCTGTTATTGTATATTATTAAGTAGTCGTCGGCGTATCTCATTACTAGTTTTATGCCTGGGATATTATTTATTTTTTTGTCTATGTTTATCATAGCTAATTCAGCTAATTTTGGTCCCATCTTTGATCCCATACTGATGCCATCTACTTGTCTATAGAAGTCTGCATTAACATTAAAATAGTTTCTGGTAAATGCAAAGTGTATCAAATTAAAGTTTTATCTACATTTAACATAATTAGACTTTCCTCTATTAATTTCCATTTTATATTTGGGTACATATTTTTGACATCAAGACTGATTAGTTTATCAGTGTTTTGTTTCTGTATTTTCAGCATTCTATTAATAACATCATCAGCGTTTTTTACGGTGTACTTAGAATTATTGATGTTTATTAATTGTTGCTTGATATACTGTTCTAAGTTGTAAAATATGGAAAATCTAAAATCTACTAAAGGTCTGAATTTTTCTTCTTTTTTGTGGGTTTTTAATCTTATATTTAGTTTCGTGGTTCTATTGTTTTTGAAATTAAGGATGTAGTTTTTATTGTTTTCACTTATATTATTATTGACGTACATGTTTTTGACCATTTTAGTTAGATCCTTTTTTATGTCTTCGTATGGGTTGTTGTTATGCTGTATTACATTTCCAACATATAATTAACACAGAATGGCTTGCATATTGAACACATGATGTAAAATAAAGTTTTGCTTTATTAACTTATAAATTTTGTTCTTGAAGCACCATATTTTTGCCTAGTGGCAAAAACTTGAACTAGGTTGTTTTCCATAAATTCCTCATAATGTGAATAATGTATATCAGGCCTGGCCAACTTATAGTGGAGTAAGATTGACTTTCATGAATTAAAAGCGCCAATGTCTACTTCACATCTGTTCTTCTGTAATAGCTTAATAATCCACCCTAATAAAATTATGCTGCAAAACTTAATTATATTAATTTATTGCACAGTAATTAATGTTCCAGATTATTTCTGTCTGGTAAATATACTAAAACATAAATTAAACACCATTTATTTTTTATCATAACAAAATATAACTTTCTCTCTCTCTCTCTATCCCAAAAATCATAAATTTTGCTTATTTGACTCACTCATTTTACACTTGCTTAAGGTGCAACAAAACAATTACTAAAATAACATAACCTAGCAATGACCACCAATGCAAAAAGTGCTTCTTCGTTATCCATCACATGTTACTAACCAATAGCTAATAGTTAAAAGATTTTTCTGTGAAAAATCATTTTAATAGGAATATTAAATCTATATGAATGTTTTCCACATTTTAAAGGTCATATTTTCTGCAATTGACCAGTCAACCATAATAAACCTGTTGACCAATTCTAGTATATACAGGGTGTCTCAGTTAAATGTTTCAGAACTTCTAAGAGATGTAAGGGTGCATCCTGACGACTCGGAATCATATAGCAATGCAGGGTCGGAAATGCTTTCCTGAAGTGGTGATGTACGCAGAAACAATCAATCAATCAATCAATCTTTATTAAACATATGTGGTACATACATTCTCGGTTCCGCATAGCATAGCCGAGATAAATACAACATGAATGATGATTACATAGATTACATAATGATAACTTTTTACAATAACAATGAAATAAACATAGTATAATAAAATTAAATAATTAATTAAGATTAAGATTATACCTAAATTGCAGTAGTGACAAAGCAAAGTTAGAAAATATGTACAAACAAAATATGTGCATATGGATACAAGAAAGAAAGGCAACAGGGAGCTGCAGAAAATTTGCACAATGTAAAGTGGTCCAGTTGATGTGTATACAAAAATAAAAAGAATAAGGAACATGTGTGAAGGTGATTAAATACAATAAATGGTCGTGAATTATTGACAGAGAGTATATGGCAGCGATAAGCGCCTTTGATACAGAGAACACCTGGAGACTTACTTGAGAAATTATAGTCCAGTGTAGAGAGGTCTTTTCTAGTCTCTGGTAACAAGAGGAGCAATCGCCTCATGTCTTTTAATGAGATTACTGAAGGCTTCATACAGTTCTTTATTCTTTAGTAAATCATTGTGTTCACATGGCCAGTGGATGTTCCTACTTCCAGCAGCGAGTTCGATGGCCAGATGCTCTGCCTCCAAAGAGATGCAGTCGAAGAGATAGTGGTCTGAGTTATCTGGTTTGCAGCAGATAGCACAAAGTGGTGAATTTTTGTTGGTGAACCTGTGCAAATACCTGGAGAATTTGCCGTGGTCGGTGATAAACTGAGTAAGCTGGTGGTTAGGAGTAACCCAATGGTAGCTGTAATAGTCAATAATGTTGGGAATGTACTTGAAAGCGGTGTTGTTGTGCTTTTGACTCCAAGTTGTTTGCCAC